ACATAGGTCACACATTATCCAAATTTCCTGGATGTCTTTGTAGGCAATGGAGCATAATCAAGAGTCCAATGAAATGTAGATAAACAGACATGATTCCACTATTTAGTCTATGCATAATGATCAGTATTGGCTAAAATAGCTACGTATATAATTTCTGGGATTATAAAGGGCCACCAATGTGGTGCCCCAACATTTGGGACTGCCAAGACTCATCTAGTATGTACCTGACTTTAGGGATTAAAAGTCAGTATATCCCAGGAGCCTTTCTTTATTCTGATCCTTCTAGTCCTCCTCACTCAAAGAGTATATCTGAACAAGGAACCACACTAAAAAGAGTTATTTAATTTAATTACCTAACGAAGTAGAACGCATATGTACAGAAGTGTGGACATCTAGATGCTAACAGGTGCTGCACTTGTGAGATCTTTAACCTACTCCCTTAATTGTGGTTGGTTTGGATATGGCATGTAATGCAGTGGAACCACATTGGGGTGGGGATGTAATAAGCCAACCTTTCCAGCTTTAGCAATTCAGCCAACGGCCTTAAGTCAGACCAAAGCACACCTAAATAAATGAGTGTGTATCCTGCAGTAGCTGTTTCATCAATTTTCCACCCAAATGTTACACATATATTTTAAGCAGAGAGTAAATATGATTCAGTACATAGCTACATACTTCAATGTGACTCATTGTGTTACATACACCAAATAAGGCACTGTGCTAGGAAGTATTTTTAGCCTTTCTGGTTACATAGAGATGTGAAACTCAGAGTTGCATTAAACTTCATGACATCACTTTCATAGTGCCCACATTACAACATTACATAATATTTTTAAAAGTGTTAGACTAGAAGCTATTTTGCCACAAGGACCATGACCAAGGTGAAAATCGAATTAATTTGTTGAATTTGTCTGCCTCAAACTTATTACAACGTTTATTCGTTTTTCTTCCCCCTTAATTTTTTTAAATTTTCTATAAAGGTTAGTTTCAATTATTTTATTTAATTACTATATCATAGATGGCATTTGTCAAGTGCAAGATTTAGGGATTTCAGATTAGGTATTACAACCTTCCAAACACCAGGAGCCACACACTCAGATCCTTGCCAGGTAGAACTCGCTGTGTTAAAAATAAATACATAAATGAATTAATTAATTAAATAATTAATTGATTCCCAGTAATGAACATTTTTCCCCTTTCAGGATTCCTTATAGGCAGAAATGAAATGCCAAAGTATTATTATACCAACTTAGTACACCTTAAAACTGCAACTTAATATTGAATGAACTAGGTTAAAGCACTGCCGCTGGACCGAATGTAGAGGAAACACACGCACGCAATATTTTACTCAAGCTGGCTGTTAATCAAGACGGTCAAACATGGCAGTTGCAATTGCAATAAAATCAGCACTGCAAGAAAAGTAAAGGGGGGGCGTTTACTCCACTGCATCCATTTTAAGCTTTAGCTATTAGTTACTTTGAACATTTAGTTTTTTAAAACAAATATCCAATCGTTATAGTAGTACAGATTAACTTAAATTAGTTTTACGCGGTCAGTAAACTCTGGTGGCAACAGGAAGAAAATAAATGTTGGACGCTGAAAAGGAGATCACTGATTCAACGAGACAGACTATGAGAAAATGAACAAATGCGCGGACATTTCACCCGGATCACTTTGACGATGCTGATTTCAATTAAGAGCTTATAAAAAGACTTTGTGGTGATGCTCAGAAATTTAGTACAATAGAGTGAATATTTATAGAGAGGGAGGGTACTGTTTGAATGCCATATTTGCATATCACCAAATGCAGTCGCTCCACAATGGCAGCTCCCCACGCATGCAGTGTTCAGCAAGGTGGGTGAAAGCCGTGTAATGTCTACAAGTTCAATAAAAATCAGAAACGGACCAGTCACACAAGTTAGACTAGGGAGAACCGTCTGCTGTTGAGGAATCGCAGTAAAACCGCCAATCACTCATCAATAAACTGATCAGAGGGAGGGCTGAAATCCGCACGTGGTTCGAATATCAGACTAAGCGTGCTACACTTCCGCGTCCTTGAGACGTGATTTCAACACGACAGCGTTAAAAGGCACAAAAATGAATACTTGAAGTAGTCGCTTATGTTCAAAACACCGGAATACCTCACAGAGGTACTATTTCAAAGCCCCTGACTCCACAGTCAGCCCGTTCTCGGAAGGCTAACGCTAGCCTGGAAAGGAAGACAACAATCCAACCAGCTAACATAAGCTAGCAGACGACTCACAGGAAATTAGCTCACAGTCTAGAAAGACCAACGATATAAAGAACGGTGTTATGTTTCGTTACAAATGTTCGCAACAGCGGCGAACAAAATCCACGAGCCGTGGATAACGCTACCCGGGTCCATGTTGTGGGAGTGAATGATAACAAATGGGTTTTTTTATATAGTTACCTCACTCGAGTGCCGTGTGCATCTCCTCTCCGCTCGTTACCAAAAAAAAAAAAAGTCGTCCAGCTTTACGTGAACGCACGAGAGACCAGCTCATTCACCAACGCCTGCTGAGAACTTTACGTGGAGTTCGTGGGGGTGGTCCTTAAGTCTACGTAAAGTGCGCAGTACACCAATGAAAGCGCTGACGTTTCTTTCCGCCAAATGGTGTCTGGTCGGTCATATGATTGTCTGAGGAGTTCACGTTCTTTTTTCCCCTCAGGCTGTTTGTAAATATTTGCTGTAGGCAAATGATTAAATATTATAATTATTAATGTTATACTTAAGGGAGACGAGGCGCAAATTATAAATAGTTATTATTATCTTACTTCATAAGAAATATATGCGCAGTAAGTAACAGCACAGCTTCAATAATAATAATAAATATTAAATAGCAAAAAGAGTTTAAAAGCAATCAAGTTAAATTAAACCACTGTATCTTAAATAAAGTCAAGCCAAAATTATATGGTTATAATCAGTTCATTGATTTTACCTCTGTTCTAACTTTATAAAACAAGTTTGTGGAGCATTTCACCCTCTTTGTTATATTTTCTTGGTCTAGTCAAATGACTTTCAATCACCAATAGAGCCAAAGTGACCATTAAAGGAACTTAACTTTTGCTGTTTTTTACCACCAAATTGTGACTGGGTGACTGGACTGTCATATGACTGTCTGAGAGAGATCATGCTCCTTCTTCTTCTTCTTCTTTTCCAGGCTGTTTTTAAACAAGAAAACCATAAAGGAATTATAATTCGCAATTAGGAGAAACCAATGGCAATTTCATACTTAATAATTTATTTGTTTATAAGTTACAATAAGCAACAATACGACTTAAATTTACAAATACAAGTTTTAAATAAACTGCATATCGCAATGTTTTTGTTACTTATTTGTGTAAGAATATAATGAAACAGTTTGGCCTTTGTTTGAAAGTCATTAAATATGTGTGTCTGGCAGTTCATCTTCTTCTCTGACATTTAGATGAACTTTGCATTGGCTGTTTCTTTCTGCCAAACTGTGTCTGGGCTGCCACATGACTCTAGAATAATCTTCTTGATTCTTTTTTACTCATTTTGAAAAAGAATACTTTACATTCCTTAATAACTTATATATACTTATATAGGCTACAACAGATAATTAGCAAAGTGAAAGTGTCTTGGTGAATATAATTTTAAAAAAACCAAACATAATTGGGCAGTATGTATATTGTTTTTAATAGATCTATAACCGAAAAAGTTAATTCCTTTTATAAGAAGTTTCAGAAGAAGAGATGGGAACTGAGAGAACTGTACAGCCAGCAACAACCTGAGAAAGTGAACAAAGCCTTCATCAGATGAATACACCCTCTAATTTTAACTCACATCCTCATTACTCGTGATCACTGGCTGTGTCACATTAAGGTCAACACCTTTGCTCTGACAACAAACATGCCGTGATTACAGGGCGTTAACAGTGTATGACAAAGTGTTCAACTGGAGTTTCTAGTTTTGTGTCAGTCATCCTTTTCTATGAAGTGAAAACTACGTCTTAACATTCTGTCCATTTTACTTTAGTCTTCACTTGCTACACAAACATCTTCGTGGCCCACACCAAACATTCAAAGCAGTCACACAGAAGCACAAACAAGGGGGTCTATTAGAAATCTCATTTTATATATCACACAAAATAACCATTAGTCTGAACTAAACGTGACAAAGTGGGAGCAGCTCTGCACTCCATCAGACAGGGAATGTACAGAGGCTGAATAAGCAGCTTAAATAAGCTGAATCTTCCTTTTTTAAATGTGCAGGTTCTTTATTCACTTTAAACAAAGACACAGCTTGTACTCCAGCAACAGAGTATTATAAAAGTACAGGAAGCATACAATAATAACAATAACAACACAAAAACGAGAGTGAAGCTTGCTAAGAACATAACTAAACAATTTTTGTCTTACAATAAACAACTTGAGCAGGGTTTGTTTTTTTTTTAATCAAAAGTCTGTGTGTGGATTACCACTGGGACATGAAGCCACATGACCATCAGAGGATCATAGCTACCGCTGAAGGCACAGAGGTCATGTCCTCAGCACTGTCTCTGGGAATCAGGGATTTTAATCACCTAGACAAGGGTTTATATTTATATTACATTAGAAAATGTGTCTCCTGATGTGCGCCTCAAAAAGGGAGAAAGAGATCTTTGAAGACTTACCTTCAAGACTAAGCTCAGCTGATTTAGCCAAAAGAGGATCTTGACCTTGGATATCACGCAGCAGCATTTATCTAAAAAAACAGAACTACTTCTGGGTCTGGACAAACAGCAATCACCGAGGGAGTCGTTAATTTCCATCTTCACCAAGATATCTTGCAGAATACTTTCAGTGTGGCTGCCTGCCAGCTGTAGCTCAGCAGAAAGCTGGGTGATGCAGTAAAAAATGACCCCAAAAATAAAGTTACTCAAACCATTGCAGTTAAACTATAAAGCCAAAGGTATTTGCTCGTCTGCCTACTCAAATATATATGTACTTGAGTGACATCCCATTCTTAATCCATACGGCTTAATGTTGGTTCACTCTTTGCAGTTGTAAAAGCTTTAGCTCTTCTCGGAAGACAAAGTTTGAGGAAGTTTGGAGGTCTGTAACGACTGACAATGCAGAAAGTCGGTAACCACAGCCTGCTCTGCGATTTTACATGGTCTACTTTGTAAGTGACTTCCTGTCATTTACAGTCGATTCTACTTTGTTATAAGACCACTAACATTGACTATGAGGTATTTTTACAGCTGGATTTTATGCGCAGAGGTGGCATCCTATCAAGGCAGCACACTGGAATTGATTGAGCAGCCTGCATGCCTAGGTGCTTGATTTTATGATTTTGTAGAGTAAGACTGCACAGATTGGAACACCTGAACTGAATGATTTGGATGCTTGAGTGAATCCTTTTGGGAATATAGTGTAATTGTCTGTAAACGCTCCCTTGAGCGTGATCCAGTTATAACATACTAAGTTGTTGAAAAAGCCCATTAAAGTGAGTTATTAGAATAATCATTATTTTTTTGTCATGTAATCTTAAATTTGTCTTATTAAAACAACTGTATGACAAAATTAGGGGTAAAAATAGTATATTTATGGCATGAACACTAACTACCTTAGAGGCTTTGTGCTAGTTTCACCTCTGTCCTCTCAGTTTGGTCGCTGATGTATTTACTCTGGACTTTTTATACAGTATATTGAGGCAATGAGATTTAAAACATAGCACTCCAAGGAATCCATCAAGGTGAAATGCACTGAGCTTTCCTGTCTGGTCGTATTATGTGGTACGGTACAGAAGAGGCTGAGCACAGCTGACCTTCACTGCCTTTGTGTAGGTGGCTCTGAGTTTGTGTGCGTGTGCAGGTGAGCGTGAGGCATTTGAACGCTCTGATGGGAGCACACAGCTAATTTCTGTTGGCCACGCACCAGCTGGGTCCACGTCCCGCTCCTCCCCACCCCAGGTTTGCCTCCTCCCCTCCCACCTCATGTCGGCTGTCTCTCATGATCATAGGGGGATTAATATCAAGTGATTGGCAGCCATGTTCTCGCTTAGCACTCCAGTCATGGTGCCCCGGGGTCTCTGCCAGTCGTAATGCAATGGCAGAAGTGCCACTGTGGCTTTCACTGTCATTTAGCCAGTACCCTGCCCCAGCAGACAGAGGATGAAAAGTGCCAATGACTGCATTGAATTATGAGCTCAACTCAGCCCCGGACATATATACAACCCAGCACAGGGAGCCATTTCCTGCTGAAATGCCTCCTGCTGCAGATTACTGAGGTAATATTTCCTGGACTGCAACTAGAGCGGTTATGGTCTGCAGGCAATCTACCTGACGCAGCTTTTGCCCACAGAGGTGCGACCGGTATGAAAGACGAGGCATTGACTTGTGGTGAAATTGCCCTTTTTATCACACAGTGGTTAAAAAGGTGAGGTGATTTTTAATGAGGACAACTATTATAACGTTTCACACCAAACTGAGGCCATAAGAGGTTGAACAGCTACTATGCACAGTTACAGACACAAGTGAAATAGTTCATTCCAGTTATACAGCATACCCTATTATAAACCTATATTACCAGAGTCAAATTAAGGTCGTACATCTTGAATGTGTCCTTCCATTTGATGGAAATAGGCACTGGGGATATGTAGCCTGGATCCAGTGTGTGTGTGCATGTTCCTGGCTGACATTTTGCTGATACAGAGCAATACTGGCACCCCTGCAGACCTGCTGGAGCTCTGTCCTGGAGGGCAGCCAAAGACAGGAAAAAAAAAGAGAGAAAACTGGAGCGAAAGGGAGAGACACGACAAGTGACAAGTTTTAAATATCAGTTCATTAGCAACCTGTAAACCTATCTAATGAGCACTCATGGATTTTTCATTCCCTTTAATCGGGTGGAGGTTGAAGAAAGGTGAGAGCGCTTGCTTGTTTTCCCCTCGGGTTTGTTGTACTTGCCAAAGCTATAATGCACACACATACCACTGCAATAGCCAACGAACAGCTCCCCACCCAACAAGCTCACACGCTGTCGATCGATGTGAGCAGGGGAAGAGCGTCCAACAAGCTCCATTAGGCTGCATTTGGTCCATATGAATATCCACTGATGAAGCAGATTGACTTCTTGACCGTACTAGTCTTCAGAGACCTGTCTCATGATTGGGATCCATCAAAGACACCCAGTGTGTTCTTTGGAAAATAGAATTTTAGCATTTTTTTTTTAAACCAGCTGATCTTAAAGGTCCAAAGGTGTTCACATGCCCAGTAACAAGGTAAATTGCAATTGTAAATGACTTATTTATTTCTAAGATCATGGCGACTACTCATTTAATCTTTTGATCAAACTTCTTTCTTTGTCAGGTAAGAAGACAAATGAATCCCACAACTACACACAGTTTCCACACACACCTCCTTTTATCGACATATTGACTTGCGTGGGTATTTGAGCAAGTGAATGACATTCTTGGTTACATTCAATCCAGTGACTTCAAGCTGAACAGTTCTTCTTGTTATCTGATGCAGTAAAATTGTTAAAAGAACCACAGTCAGACTCTTTAAAGAAACAAATTAAAAATGAGACATACAGCATACTGTATGTCTCACACTGCGAATGACTTATACATCACTTTAGGAGATCCTTTGAAGTCATTTTTAAATGGGTCAGAACAGCCCAGCCTA